ATTCCTGCATATGGTGGGATCAGCCCAGGGAGGAAGAAAAATAATCCTATGAAATATGCCCCAGTCAGTGCTGCTGCTGAAGGAAAGCTCTGGAGAGAGCAGTGAGGATGGTAAAAGGGAGGGGGTTGCCTTCTGGGGAGGATCCAGGGGGGAAGAGGGAGGAGGGATTGGGGTCTCCAGGACAGACAGAGGCAGGCAGGGGACAGAGGCTTCCTGTGGGAGCCAGAGGTATCCTTCTTCCAATTCAACAACTACTTACGGAGCATCTGAGAAGCTGGGCTTTTGGCAGCGCTGGGGGTAAGGATGTGAGGAAGGAAGTACCACTTGTGGGGAGCTCCCAGTAGGGCAAAAAACATGCCCTCAGCCACTTCAAGGGCAATGACAGGAAGAGGGACAGAGGGTGGGGAGCAGAGGGTGACACAGCTGTTAATTTGGTAGCATGGGAGAGCCTTTGTGGGAGCCAGCATTTGAACTACTCTAGAAAAGAGGACAAAATTGGGGGATAGAGTATCCCTCCACTCCAGGTGGGAGCAGATAATGTGCAGGGCTGGGCGCAGTGAGCAGGGTGGCGATGTGGCCAGAGAGCAGCCAGGGGCAAACCACTGAGGCTTGTCCTGATTGCCAGAGTCTGAGAAATTGTGCCCCTCACACCGCGTGCCAGGAGGGGTGTGTGAGAGGCAGGTGGAGAGTGGGCTAGGTCACTCTCCACCAGAGTGAGCCAGGGCCCTGCTGTGGGGCAGCCCTGTGAGAACAGGTAAATGGCTGGGCCTCCTGGCTGGGGTTGCCTTAAGAGACAAGACAGGCCTGATCTCCGCCCCACCCACACCCTATGAGCCATGCTCACAGCACCCATTTTACCCATCGATGCGTATGGAAATGCAGCACAGGTTCATGGGTGTGTGAGCACCCACATGCATGTAGGTGCCTCATGCAGCTGAAGGTATTCTCGAGGAATTCCAGAATGGCAGAACCGAATGTAGTCTGGCTTCACCATAGGACAGAGAAACTGAGGCCCAGAAGAGGGAGACACGTCCTGAAGCCCCATGCTTTGATCTGGAAATACATGACTATCTTTGCACCCCCTGATCTTACGTGCATGCTCACACACAGGCGCTACCCCATCTTCTCATGGACCCAGGGCAGCCTCTGCCTCCAGGAGACTCACAGCATTAAGCAAGTCCTGCCAGGAGACTGAGCTTCCTCCCAGTCATTCCCACAAACTGCTTAGAGGTGGTTTGAGATCCACGGGCCCCATGGTCACAGCTCCACAAGAACAGCTGGCCGCACATCTGAGCCCCACTGTCTCCTTCCTCTTGGGGCTATTCCAGGGTGCTCCAGACTTCCTCTCCCTCTGCCCTCTAAGTCTGGCTTCCTTTCTTTACTTTCTGTCTGTTCTGGCTGTGGGTGACTGAGTGCTTTCTTTCTCCTGGTTCCTCCTCTCCCTCCCACTTCTTCATCTCTGGGTCTCTCTTCAATTCTTTCCCTACTGAGCTCTGAAACTCCCACTCCATTTGCTTTCTCTCTCTCTCCCCAGGATCTTTTTTTTTTTTTTTTTTGCCTTCCAGGAAAAGCTGACGTGGCAGTCAGCAGCCCCCAGGTCGCAGGAGTGGGCCTCTTCGGGGTGGGAGAGTCCCAGCTGAGCAGGACCCAGAAGGCGGGATTGGCTGCCAGAGCAGGAGGCGGAGCTGGTAGCAGTGGGAGGAGGTAGGGCTGGGTCTGTGAGGAGTGAGGAGGGGAGAGCAGGAAGCCAAACTGTGGGAATAGTGAGCATCCCCTCCTGTGCTGGGTGACCAACAGTCTTAGTTTGCATGGGACTGCCCAGGATTTAGCTCTGAAAGTTCCATGTCCCCTACAGCCCCTCAGTTGAGGTCACTTTACCACAAGCTACTCTGAAGCTCAGAGGAGCCAGGACCCAGGCTGGCAGGAAGGGCTCCCAAGCCTGGCCTGGTCCCCCCATCCATTCTTCCTTCCACTGCTCTGGGCTACTGAGTGCTTCAAGGAATGGGGAGGGGTTTGGAGGTCTGAGAGGAGCACTCCAGTCCTGGGCATCTAAGCCTTCGTCTGTGATCTGGGACAGTTAACAGCTCCAAGGGACTGGCCTACTCCCTGGTGGGCCCCATCTCCAGGCCTGAGTCAGGGGTGGAGGTGGAGGGGCAGAGAGAAATGACAGCAGTTCAGGCAGGCTTCCTGGAGTTCCTGAGCCCTGATGAGGAAGGAGAGCAGCTCTCTGGCTTGTCTCAGGCCTGCTCAAATTTTCTCCTGTGGGATAAGCTTTTCAAAGGAACTTTGGGGCCAGTGGAGGACTACCTAAGAGGCCATCAGCCTCCTAACGAGCCTCACACATCTCGAGAAGTGTGTGAATAGCTGGGAGGTAGAGACACCTACTCCTGGTGGCCCCCTGTGAAGTGCCTTGGAGGATGGGATGGCTCCTAGCTGAGGCCCCTTGGGCCCTGGTGGCCCTTGTCTGCCACCTTTCCTGGTGGGAGCATAGTTACCCCCTCAGCAGTGAGGGGCCCTGGGGAGATGGGGAAGAGAGCCCTGTTAGTGATGCATGTCCTCAGTGGTGGGGGAGGAGAGCCTGGCCTCTCTGGTTTCTCCTGCCTTCACCCCATGACTGTTCCTCAGTGGGGTTTTGAGAGTAGACTAATGTACATCTGCCATCAAGGTCTTCAATGACCAGAAGTCCAGAACCCAAGGGTGTCCCTTCCTGGAAAGGCTGGTGACTTAGCACCCAGCAAGGCCTGGGTCTTCACATATGAGCAACAGTCGGAAATTGTCCTGCTGTGAGGAACTGCTCGGCCTTGGACCCATCCCTCCCTCCTCTGTGTGGTCCCAGAGCTCAACTCATCCATTCACTGAATGAAGAGATATTTTCCCAAGCTTTTCTGTGCCAGTGATACACAGACACTGGGAGGGTGAGACCCACCCCTCACCAAGCTTCTGCTCGAGCAGAGGGTTTCATATTAAATAGGAGTGAATAAATCATTACAGATGGCAGTAAAAGCCATGAAGAAAAAGCAGGAGGTCTGTCTGTGAGGGCAACTAAAGGGGACCCTGTGTCTCGGAAGGGCTACTCAGATGAGGTGATGGTGACATGCCATGCCGGGAGGCACCAACCACAGCAGGCGGGACAGAGAGTAGGGAGGATCTTCGCACTTTACCCTGGTGTGATTTGGAGGAGGGGGGCAGGGTAGAAACTGAGCTCCTAGGAAGTGAGGTGTCCCTTGTATGGGTAATAAGTGGCTACGGTATGTGCCAAAGCACAGTGAAACCCCCTCCACCAGGAAATCCTCCACGACTGGTTTATTGAACCCTGGATATGTGGGCTTCTAGCCTATGACTGACCCACAAAATTCAGAAACTTTCTTAAAAATTCCCCAACATAATAATGATACCAGAGAGGGCTTCACCTGCAGTGGGATGGAGCTCAGACTACAAGAAGAGCAACATCAGCCTGCGGTGCTTTGCAGGGATCACACTGCGCTTTCCAGGATGCATGAAGTCTTCTTGCTTAGTGGCAGGAGATTGCATGTGAGGCCAGACGGGGCTCCTTGGGGCTGTTTTCAGCCTAAGCTGCACCTATTTGTTGTTGGCCCACCAAGAGGGTAAACTGAGTCATGAGCAGGGTTCAGTCAGCTATACAGAGAGTAGGGCAAAATTATCCAGCCCACAAATTTCCATCCAGGGCCTCCCTCATCTATTTACCCTCCAGCATTCTTGCTTTGGGCCTCTTTCTCCTTCCCACTGTCAATTCCTCGGGCTCTCCCGGGGCAAAGGTTCAGTTATGCTCCCCTGGAGGTATCCCAGCACTTTTATACAGTGCTGGGACTATGGTGCCCAGAGAGGGCAAGGCTGCCCCCGAGGCATGCAGCACCTTGTTGGGGGTTCACGCACATGGAGAGAGGGACAGAGAGAATATTCGGCACTTGATTTTAGCCAAGAAGAGATATGAGAGAATATTCTGGACAGAATGAGGGCCCTCAACCTCACCTGTCTGCCAGGTGGCTGTCCTCGGTGATGGGACCACCTCTGAGCCTGGGTATCTCAGAAGCCCAGCCAGGGAAGCTGAAGCCCAGCTGACTCCTGTTCCATACTTTCTGCTCTGGCTTCTGCTTCCTGTCAGCTCCCACCCAGCGTCGGTCTGGCACTCCTTGGACAGTGAGGTGTGTTCAGGAAAGTCCAGCCTCGGAGCCAACAGGACGTGGGCCAGGGGGATGTGATTTCCTACAAAACAGGACCAACACTGTGGCTTTTCACAGGGGCACTGGGGCCTTTCGGGTGTTCACATATTCTGGCCTTCTCAACTTTTCACTGAGACACACCCATCACCCACACAGACACACACAACCCCAAACACACACCCGGACTCATATCTATCACCACTAAGTCAGTCTCCACAAATTCACACACACACACACACACACACACACATAGCCTCGCACATACTCAAACAGTCCCAGACACACACACATCCCCACACGCTTGGTCTTCTGCATCACCACAACCACACACCCAAGTACACAAGCTCATTGCACTCACAGAGATGTCGCACCCACGCTCATATACACACAAACGTGATACACACAGCTCAAACAGTCCCGGCGTGGTGAACTCCCCTCTACTTTTTTGTTCTTGTTTGAAGCAAGGTTAGAAGTCTCCCGCCTTACAGTTTCTCACTTTTCCTCCATAAAAGCCCTTCTGGCCTCTTCTTTTCTTGGGTCCTATCCAGATAGTGCTGTGTCTTTAAGGAAGCTGAAGCTGCTAAAGTGAGTGAGAGAGGGAGGGAGGGGAAAAAAAACCCAAAAATTTGGCATCTTTTTCCCTCAAGTTTCTGGTGTCACTTATGAAACACGGGTCCTTACTGCTATAGAGAAGCAGTTTTTCCGCACGGAGGGAACTCGGGCCTGGGCTCCTTCCCTGAAGCCTCCTCTCAGCAAAAGTCCCAGCAGCCTGTGGGGAGGGCAGGCACAGGGCAGGGGCGGGCGTGTATACTCAAGGGGGTAGGAGGGACCAGGCTGCCCTTCTCCCAGCATCCTAAGCTTCCTTCCTCAGGGGCTCTTTTGACCCCGCAGACTGTCAAAGCTAACTTTGCCCTTTGTTGCTTTTTGGTTCCATTTTAGAAGCAACTCAGCCACCAAGAAAGAATACTTTGAAGGTAAGTCAGTGGGCAAGGAACACTTTGAAGGGGCAGTCGGTCTGCTGGTCATGGGGCCAGGCCCCTCTGGGCACGTCCTTGTTGGTTTGAGGTGCTGGGTCCCATCCCCTGCTGGGGTCTGTCCAGGGGCATCTCGCCCCTCTGACAGCTGCAGCCCTGGAATCTCAGCAGCATTTTGGTTAAGCAACTGGCCTCGCCCAAGCCAGCTGAGAGGTTGGGGGCCCAGGGCAGTGTGTGTGTGTGTGTGTGTGTGTGTGTGTGCGTGTGCGCGCGCTGGCGGGGGGGGGGCGGTTATTTAGGCAGCTGCCTGGTGTAGTTTGAACGGAACAGGCCACGGGTGTGATTCTATAGAAAGAGTCTGGTGTCTGCTGTGGTCACGGCCCATAGGAGCGGGCGGGGAGGGGGGTGGGGGGTGTGCACTGCACAAGGAGCCTTGTCTGGGCTAGGGCAAAGCATACCTATGGGGGGCTCTGGTGGGAGGGACTGCAGCCAGGATATGGGAGGGCAGGAGGGAGGTTCTGTGAAGTGCTGGGGGAGGGGGCGGCTGAAAAGCAGATTTCAAGTCGTAAAGTCAGCTAGAAGCTGTCCGAGCAGGGAGAGTTCTCTGCTGGGAGGAGGTGCTGGGCCCTCTTCTGTCCTGTCTTTACCCAGTCTGGCTGCATGACTTCAGGCAAGTCCTGGTCCTTTGGGCCTCAGTTTCCCTCTCTGTTGAAAGGGGCTTGGGGGCTAGGTGGCATGGGGTCTTGGCTGGGTTGTGTAGGGCAAGGTCTTCTCAAGGGGGAGGGCTCTGGAATGAGGTCATGAGGGGGTGTGCTCCTTCCATGGGTCCCAGGGGTCACCTGGGTGGCTTGTCTGTCTCTCCAGGAGCAAGGATGCAGGAGCTTTATCTGCTGTGCTGGGTGGTCCTGCCGGGCCTGGTGCGGGCCTGTCCTGAGCCCTGTGACTGCGGGGAGAAGTATGGTTTCCAAATTGCTGACTGTGCCTACCGAGATCTGGAGGCTGTGCCACCCGGCTTCCCAGCCAATGTAACCACACTGAGCCTGTCAGCCAACCGACTGCCAGGCTTGCCACAGGGCGCCTTCAGGGAGGTGACCCTGTTGCAGTCGCTGTGGCTGGCACACAATGAGATCCGCATGGTGGCCGCAGGCGCCCTGGCTGTCCTGGGCAACCTCAAGAGTCTGGACCTCAGCCACAACCTCATCTCCGACTTCGCCTGGAGCGACCTGCACAACCTCAGTGCCCTCCAGCTACTCAAGATGGACAGCAACGAGCTGACCTTCATCCCCCGTGATGCTTTCCGCAGCCTGCGTGCCCTGCGTTCACTGCAGCTCAACCACAATCGCTTGCACACGCTGGCCGAGGGCACCTTCTCGCCACTCACCGCGCTGTCTCACCTGCAGATCAACGATAACCCTTTCGACTGTACCTGCGGCATCATGTGGTTCAAGACATGGGCCCTGACCACGGCCGTGTCCATCCCGGAGCAGGACAACATCACTTGCACTTCACCCCACGTGCTCAAGGGCACCCCACTGAATCGCCTGCTGCCTCTGCCTTGCTCTGCACCCTCAGTACAGCTCACCTATCAGCCCAGCCAGGATGGCGCTGAGCTACGGCCAGGCTTCGTGCTGGCGCTCCACTGTGACGTGGATGGGCAGCCGGTCCCCCAGCTTCACTGGCATATCCAGACACCTGGTGGCACCGTGGAGATCACCAGCCCCAATGTGGGTACTGATGGGCGTGCCCTGTCTGGGGCCCTGGCAGCCAGCACCCGGCCACGCTTCCAGGCCTTTGCCAACGGCAGCCTGCTCATCCCTGATTTTGGCAAGTTGGAGGAAGGCACCTACAGCTGCCTGGCCACCAACGAGCTGGGCAGTGCTGAGAGCTCGGTGAACGTGGCACTGGCCACACCAGGCGAAGGGGGTGAGGACGCCCTGGGGCACAGGTTCCACAGCAAAGCGGCCGAGAGCAAGGGCTGCTATACAGTTGACAATGAGGTGCAGCCTTCCGGCCCTGAGGACAATGTTGTCATCATCTACCTCAGCAGAGCGGGGAGTCCCGAGGCCGCAGCAGTCGGAGAAGGGGTCGCTGGGCTGCGGCCCACTGGCCTGCTCTTGCTGGGCCAGAGCCTCCTCCTTCTCCTTTTGCTCACTTCTTTCTAGCCTCACCCCAACCTGGATTGGGCTGGAGGGGCTCCAGGGGTGCCCCGGCTCCTCCCTGACTCTGCCGCTGTAAGTACTGCAGAGTGCTAGGGTCAGCAATTCCCAAGGTTTTTTTTTTTGGGGGGGGGGGGATCTGCATTTTTCTACCTCCCCTTCTCATCTCTTCTGGAACACTCACCACCCCCAACTTCTAGACTTGCTGAAAGCTAGTGACTAGGACAGATCTGATCCCCAAATTCACCACCTGCGGTGCTCATTGCTGCTAACCACATTGCTCAGGCTCCCTCACTGGGCAGCACACTGCCAGGGCAATGTAGACAACTGGGGGAAGCCTCACTGGTAGGAGTCGCGGCACTGGGGCTGATCAGGTGGTGAAGGCTGGGGTCAGGGTGAGGGCTGGGCAGGGAGGTTGGACACAGGCACAGGAGAGGGGGGTAGGATGTCCAGCCAGCTGTGGCTGCAGGCCCCAAGGCTCTAGGGAACCTGCCGGAGCTAGCTGCTCTCTGCTGATCGCAGGGCTCCACAGTCTCTTTGTCTGAGTCTCAGACAGGATCTGGGACGGGCCTTCAGCTCCTCTCGCCCTCACCCCTCAGAGGCCTGTGCTCCTCCACCCTGCACGCCAGCCCCGCCTTCTCTCCAAGCATGCATCTGTAGCCTGCTGCTCTCAAAGAGGCCAGTCAGCCTGGGGGCAGCAGAGAAATAAACAGCATTTCTGATGCTCCCCTGTGTCTGCCTGGCATTTTGTCTGCCTCTGGGAGCATTCAGTGGGGCACAGAACCAGGAGCTGTGCAGTCCAAGCGCCCTGCCTCTGCCCACCGGTGACAGGAGCTCATGAAGTACACACAGCCCAGGGCACAGGAGCGCTGGAGGGCTGGCCTGTGTGGGCGAGAGCTGGGCCTAGGCCTGCTTCTCTCCTGAATAGCCCCTGGGATGCTCGGGGTCGGCAACCACTTCTGAGGCTCCCCGGGGTAAGTGGCACCGAGTGCTGCTTTAGGCTGGCTGTGGCCTGAAGATGCATTTTGGAGAGGGCCCTGGGTTGTGGTCCCTCTTCCCAGTCCTGCTCTGGAAAGGTGTTAGGGGATGGAAGAGGGTCAAGTGGGTGGGGGATAGGGTGTATGTGCAGCTATAGCATGGGAGAGGGAAGGGAGGAGCCTGGGGACAGGACTGGGGAGAGGGAGATCTAGAGACTGAAAACTCTTTTGAGGGAACAGTCAGAGAAAGTAAGTGTGCTTCCCCTCACTCTTCAAGAAAGAAGTGGTTTCCAGAGGAAAATCCTCCGAGTCTTACCCAAAAGAGCAAGTAGATTAGTATGGTGTGGAGGGGAGGTGCGGGCAACTTTAGGGTTTCTGACAGTGGGAAGCGTGAGGATGGGGTCAGAACCTGGTTCTGCAGAATCCCGTATCCGTGCGGAGTCAACGTTGTCTCCCTATGGCTGTGCCCCCCTCAAAGTCTGGAGTCCACACAGGAACAAGACCCATGGGAGGGCCTCTGCAGCCTCTGCCTGGAGCCCCCCAACTGCTGAGCCCAGCAACACAGAGGCAGGGAGGCCAAGGAGCCCAGCTGCTGACTGGAGCCGTCCCACATCCTCATGTGTGTAGGGCCTGCCTGCCCCGAGGCCCTGGTCACCCTGCAGCTGATGATGAGCTGGTGTCACTGGCAGCCAGAGTCAAGGGTGGCTGCCGGCTGGTGGAAAGCAGCAGGATGGAGCCCAGTTCCTGCCTGCACTGCCTGTGGGAAGTGGCTCCCTCTCTCTGGGCTTCAGTTTACTCAGACGACAGGGTAGGGCAGGGCAGTGCATAAGGGTCCAGTGGACGATGATGGCTGAGGCTGACAACCTCCATTCACAGCTGGCCAGGCTTGGTGTTGTGGAGAGGCACGTGGGACCCAGGTCAAGATGGCTGGGGCACAGTGTGCTCTGGGTTAACTAGCTACTGCCCTGCTTTAAAGTCTCCTGGGCCCCCACTTCCATAAGGGTGTAGTCCAGTTTCCCCCCGCCAGGCTCAAGGTCCCTTGGGCTGGCTCTCTAACAACACCCACTCTCTCCACCTAATCAAAGTCCCCTTAGTGCTCTGTGATGTGTCTTCCTCTGTGCCTTTCCTTACGCTGCTCACTTGGTCTGGACATCCTTTTCCTGCTCCTCATTTGACTAAATCAGCTCTCCAGAGTTGACCCAGGCACCACCTCCTCCAGAAAGCCTTCCTGGATGCCCTCTCCCCATGCGGATCATGTCTCCTCCTCTGGTTCACAGCCCCCCGATTGCCCAGTGTCCCAGCCTGGTTACATTCCCTTGTGACTATTTCTTGTGTAGGAGAGACCCCCAATCTGCCTTCTCACCCCTGCGGCCCTGTCAGGCCCCAGCACAGGGCAGGGAGATGATTTTCAACAGGCTGCTGTGGAATCAGTTTGCCCTCCTGAGGAATGGACCCCCACAGCTGTCTCACAGCCCTGCTAGCCGCCCTTCCTCCCTTTATTCTCAGTGACAGCCTCTCCCTGTATCACTTCCCCATCTTCCTGAAATTCTTCCTCCCCACACCTTGCCCACTTTTTAAGAGCCTGACTAAATCTTACTTCCAAAATCAGTGTCCACACCACTCAGAGTGCTATCACAGTGTCTCTTCTCTACCACCTAGAGGGGAGCAGCGATGAGGCCCCCACCCAGTGCTCAACCCAGCATGTGACCGGGCCCCCCCACCCCCACCCCAAGCCTCATGACATGTTGATTTACTAACCGTGTGGCCCATTTCCCTGTGACCCGCTCTCCAAGGAGGGCTGTTTCTCAAGGACAAGTTTATTACGGGGAATACACTAACCTCTTTCATAATATCTAAAGACATACCAACTACAAAAATATCTGGCTCTCAAGTGTGGGCAGCTCAGTGTGGGGCCTGGTTTGAGCTGGGACTTTGCTGCTGGTGGGAGCACAGAGCCGCCTTGCAGGCCACGAGGTGGGGGTGGGAAGTGGAGAGGAGAGACAGAAACCCTGGAGCTGGTCCTGGGTGGTGAGGCTAAGGCTGGGAGTTGGGGGGTGGGTTAGGCTGGAATCTGAGGCTTTCCCAGCCCCAATCACCTATCCAGCTCAGGAAAAGACTGCTGAGAGGCCTGGCAGCCAGCTTGGGGAGGGTGTGGCCCTCCTGGGCCGCAGGCCTCAACCGCTGATTGCTGTCTCCAGAGTCCTCAATTCCTGAGGCCCATGAGGCAGACTAGAGCATTCCCAAGGCTGGAGTATGGACACACCTCCACCCCAGCACAGTGACCCCTGGCTTCAGGAACTGAGTCCTGGGGCGCCAATCCTGGGCAAGCTATTGGCAGAGCTGGTGCTAAGCAGAGAGGCCACCATGTCTGGGGAGATCCTGGGAGAGCCAGGGAAGGAAAGCCCCCAGCGCAGATAAAGACAAGTGGCTGGGCCTTCAGCACCCTTAGGACTAGGCGCTGTTGGCCTGGGCATCTAACAGGGCCGGCTTCCGGAAGGCTTGCAGGGCCGGGTTGTGCAGCAGCGTGTAGGCCAGACCCCAGCGGGCCCTGCCTCGGTGGGCCCTGGGCCCAGCTGCCTTGGTGGCAGGGTCTTTCGTCTGCAGCAACAGCATTCCTGGAGGGAGAGACCTTTTGTGAGTCACTCAACAAACCCCTCAGCTAGACCCCTACCACCCAGACCTGAGTCTAAAAATCCCATGTGTAGTATGAGAAGTTGCTTATAGAGTTTGGGGAAAAGTGGGGCTATGGAGAGAGCTTTGCTCAGGATGTCATCTGCAGGTGGTAGACAGAGAGGGCAAGGATGAGGTCTGTTGCAGGGACAGGAGGCAGTGTCCTCTCCTTCCCGAGCAGTGGGAAAGTGGGGGACAGCAGAGTCCCCTAGAAAGACAGCAATTTACTTCTCTGTGGATGAGGGATGTGTGTCCACCCGTGAACAGAGAGAGAATACTATTATGGAAAAAGTGATCCTGAGACAGACCAGGAAAACTTTCACTTCCCACAGGCAGCCAAGAGAGGAAGGGAACATTTTCCTGGCATGGCCCCTGGCCCGTTGTATGTGGGGCAGGGGCAAGCCTCCTTCCTGGGAGGAGCTGGTTTCAGGGCTCCTGTCCCTGGCAGGAACACGCACCTTCTTCCTCCTCCAGTCTGGGGCCATCCTGGGGTGCCGCCGGGAGCTGGGGTCTCTGCAGGAGCAGGGTGCAGAAGGCGGTCACAGCTGGATGAGACTGGCTGACCTCGATCTTCAAGAAGTTGCAGTACGTGTGGTAACCTGGGGGTGGGAGGGGCAGTGCCGGGGAAGAGGACTGCTGGCAGGCGAGAGGCTCCAGGCTACCTCAACACACATCCAGGGCGCCCTGCACCCCCTGCTGTCAGCATGGGCAGTATACACAGGCACATGCTAGACACACTACCATGGCACATACTCCCACCCCTGGAACCAGGCACCCTCCGTGGGGTGCCAGGTTAGGGCAGGACAAACCCTCTGCCACTGAGCGGCCCTGCCCTGGACCTTACCAGGGTCAAGGGTGGCGGCTCTAGGGGGCAGCAAGCCGAGGTCCATCTGGCCCAGGTGGACAGCATTGTAGAGGGCAGACAGGAGCACCCGCCCAGCAGCCACCAAGGCACCCACCAGCACGTTGATGGGGAAGAGAAGGAAGGTGGTGGCGTAGAGCACTCGCCTGGGAAGAAGGAGAAGCTGAAGCCCACACAGAGCCCTCCGGGGCAGGACTCGGTGTTCACCGCTGCTGTGCATGCATTGAGTACCCACTGTTTACTGAGTGTACCTGTGTACCTGCCCTGTGCTCGGGCGCCTCCCTCACCCCACTCTCCCCACCACCACAGGGGACTGGCCATCTTCTTCCCTTCCGTAGAAGGGAAACTGAGGCTCAGAGAGCTTTGTGACTTCATTACAAATCTAAGGGTTTCGAGCTAGCCAGTGGCACAGTCTCTCCCTCTCTCCCGTGGGTCCTAACCCACTGACTCCTGGGGCCAAGTTTCTCTCATAGCCTTGCTATCTGACCGGAAACAGTATTTCTATCAACCTCCGTCCTGCAAAGGAAGAATCTGTGGTTTTGAGGGAACAGAGGCTCCAGGGGAGAGCACTGCTTGTCGCCAAAGCAGAAAGAGCTCATCAGGGTATTTCTGACTCTATGACAGATAAACAGAAGTATTTGGGAGTTGGTTGGGCCACTGCCCTCTCTCTCTGGAGACAAGGCAAGTTCTCTTCACTGCCTGCTGCTTTCCCTGAGAGAAAGGAAGAGATGGCAGTGGAGAGGTAAGCACACAAAAAGATAGAAGCTTGGAGAAGAGCCTGAGGGTCTGAGGGCGCCATGAGCCTGAAAACTGTCTCACCGATTGGTCAGCGCTGGGCGCCCATGGTGCGTGTCCAGGAAGACCCAGTGGGCTGCCGCGTTCTGCAGGATCACAACCAGGACCAAGGTCAGCCAGAAGGGCCTGCAGGCGGGGTGGGGTGGCCTTTATGTCAGTAGACCTCTGGGAAGGGGTCCCTGAGCCCTCGCTCGGTCCCTTGCCGCTCTTACCACGAGAACTCCAAGGATCGCAGGAGCAGGAGGCCCCTGCCATGAAGCATGGGCAGGAAGACCAAGAAGGCGAGGGCCATGCTCCCCAGGAAGAAGATGGTCTGCTGTACCAGGAGACCTGCCAGGGTCAGGGGGGGAGGGCACAGGCATCAGGCTCGGTGGGGCCCAGCCTGCCCCCAGCCCCCACTCCTGGAACCCAAAAGGGCTTTGGAGCTGGGTTGACCTGCCTTTTCATCCCTGCTGGGCCACTGCCTGCCTGAGAGGCAAAATGACTTTACCTTTGGGCTCTTGGTTTCTTCCCCTATAAAATGGGCCCCTACCTGGGGGAGCTGCTGTGACCAGCTAAAGAGATAATGTCTGGCCCTCCCTGGCGGTGCAACGGGTTAAAGCACAGAGTTATGAAGCTGTCCGCAGCTACTGCAGCACCAGTTCGATCCCCCGCCAGGGAGTTGATCTGCATGACGGGTGGACCTCTCCTGACCCGCCCGCTGCTCCCCTCAGCAGTGAGTTTCAGGCGATCTGCTTGTTCTGCTCCCCACTCTGTATCTGGTGAGTCCTCTCACCCCCTGCACCTCTGGCCTATATCCCATTCTGTGTGCATAAATAAATATTAAAAAAAAAGAGATAATGTCTAGGAGACTCCTTGGAAGCCACAGAGTACTCTGCAAATGTTATTTCTCCCCCAGTGCTCTTGAGTCGCTAGGGATAAGCCTGCTCATAAAGTGGATGTTTGCATTCCTACTGCTAGGGCCTGGCACAGGCAGGTGCTTGATGGCTGTCCATTGAAACAACCAGCTAATTGTTTACCTGGGATAATGTACACAGAAGGGCTTCAGTGGTATAAAGTTTACTAAGATGAGGAATTACCACTTCTAGTAATTCCTCTAAGCACTAATCCCCCTTCTCCTCCCCTGCAGAAGCGAACCGCAGAGAAGGAAAGCAGCCTTGCTTTAGCAACACTGGCCCCAACCCCTTCCCACTCGAGAAGTCTTTACTCACTGCAGGGCCCAAGGGGAAAATCTGGAGTGGGAAGGGGTCCTAGAAGTTAAATAGTCCAAGGGGCCCTGGAGGTTAACTTAGTCAAACTCCCTGAGGGCAGGACCCCCTTTTCAGTTCCCAACAATGACCATGACTCTGCTTGCATACCCCTGGTGACAGGGATCTCATCATCTCTCCTACACAGCAGGAATGTGCTGCAGGAATTTCCCACCCTCCAGCCCTGGGCCCACGTGCTACGTAAATACCCGGTGGCTCCCAGGTCCAAGCTTTCTTAGGGGTCTGCTTCTCTCACCAGAGTGAGCTGGCTGAGGGTAAAGAAGGCTAGGTGGACCCCCCTATTGTTCTTTCCCAAAGACTGATGCAGCAGACACCCAGGGCCAGCCAAAACCTGCTGGGCATTCTCCCCTCCCCCACTGGGGCCTCATCTTGGGTCAGTTGAGGCCCGGGGTGGTGGATAAGGGGTGCTCACCGAGGCAGGTAAATGCAGTCTGGTATGCGCTGAAGCTCATCCAACAGAAGATGGCGTGGCGGGAGGGGTGGAGGCTCTGGGGACCCAGGGCCAGGGCAGCCCCGCGGTGCAGAGCCTGAAGGTTGGTCCTGGGTGGGGGTGAGGGAGGTAGGGACTTCAGGGAGCAACACACACCCCAAATTCCTCCTCTGGACCAACCTCTGCCTGAACTCCCAGTCTCGGTGCAACCCACAGCCCTGGGCAGAGGAAGTCCAGTGGAGGCCACTAACCCAACCTGGGGTCCAGAGGGGGCTTCCAGAAGAGGTGATGCTCCAGCAGTCTCAAAGGGCAACAAAGAGTAAGATGAAAGGGAGGGTGGGGTGGGGGAGGAATCACAGAGCCCGTCAGGCAGCAGACTCAATCTGAGCCTCATCAGCCCTGTGAGAAACAGTAGTAGGAAAAGGAAGAACCAGACAGCCGGGGCAGGACAGCCCCTCAGCGCCCAGGTTCCAGGTGGGTAGACGCTTGGGGGCCTAGAATAGCAACTGAAGCAGGAACCCTGAGGTGCAGCAAAAGCACAGTGAATGTGAACCAGTTCTCTGGCATTGTTAAGTGCCTGGATGTGCTCTTCACACCCACCCTATTCTCTTCTAGATCCTTCTTTTCCTCTTCGCTCACAATTCCTGGGCACTTCTTATCACTCATCACAGATGACAAGCACCGCAGTTTGGCATTCTGCCTCACAAATAATGTCTTAAGCACAGCCAGGACCTTCCTCTCCTGCACTGGCACATGTCAGGTTAAGCCTCACTAGCTCCTGCTGCTTTCTCCTTCCTACATCTTCCATTCCCAGAGTACCAGCTTTCCCAGGGCCCCCCACCAGTCCAGGTGACCCCTCGTGTTTCAGGAGCATCAGTCATGCCCTGTGTCACAGATTCTCCCGCCAGGCCTCCCCTTCTCCACCCCCCACCCAGCAGGGCCTGCAGAAACCTCCCTACCTCCAGTGCCAGACTCTGCCCTACCTCCAGACCCCTGGTTCAGGGTCCCCCAGGACTCCCCTCTTCCCACAGCTGCACCGGGGAGTCTGAGTCCGCCACTAACCTGTGTGTCACCAGCGAGCGGATCAGCACGAGGAAGGTGAGTGAGCAAGACAGGGCCAAGGCAGAGACGTAGCAAACTGGAGGGGCAGAGAGGGAACAAGGTGAGAGACTAGAGCCTGCAGGGACTCCCGGGAGCCCCCAAACCCTGCCTGGTGGTAGTTACCCTGACCCACATCCGGGAGCAGAGACCTCTTGCCACAATCCCTAGATCTTAAACCCAGTGTGCCATTGACAGCCTTGGCTATTTTATTCTGTTAGGTGACATACGATGGGCAGGGTGAGGAGAAGACACCACAGAGGCTGCAGACCCTGCCCTCATGGCCTGCTCTTGTGCTTCTGTTAGGATTCCCTGTGAGAGACTCCATCCAGCCTGGCATCTGCCCTCTCCGCCTCCACCTCTTAGGCATGTGAACTTGGGCGAGGGGCATTCCTCTCCTTAGCCTCAGCTTGCTCATCCGGGCTCTCTGCTAGGCTGGCTGTCTTCCAGCACATGAGCCATCGAGCCCCATCTGTACCCAGGTGGCCTCTGTCCAGGTAACAGAGGATGTGCAGGCACATCAGTGTGGTCTGAGTCCATCAGAATATGGGAGGTGGTCACTGCTACCCATCTGGACATTGCTTCCCCTTCACCCTCTTCAGTGCCCACAGATCATAACTTCTCAGCAGCCAGGGGACAATGCAGTATCTGCTCTGACCAAGCCTGGGTATTTAAGCAGAGCAGGGGCAAAGGGAACACCCTCCCACTCTGCACCCAGCCTCACTCTGCATCCTCACAGATGCCACAGGAGAGGCTCCAGGTCCACCTGAGGAAGTGACTATGGGCAGGAAGTGGTGCGGGGGGCTGTGCACTCATCTCCAAGCAGACCCAAGCTGGGCCCCATTCCTGCACCTGAACTCCTCTGCGAGTGGGGGAGGTATTCCTGGGGGCTGTGTTCCCCCACCCTTCTCCAGAGACTCAGGAGGGGAGCAAACACATAGCCACAGGGACTGGAGTATTGGCACACAATAGGGTCACTTGGAGCTATTAGAACCTCCCATGGCCCAGGCTGCACCCCAGGTCAACAGAATAAAATTTGCTGGGCATGGGATCCTGCCCTTACCTTTGCTGAAAGTACACTCAGTGATTATAGCGTGCAGTGAAGGTCAAGGCCATTGGCCCAGGGGCTTTTAGAGGCAGAACCTGATCTTATTTCAACCAGCAGCTGCTTGAAATCAACCAACTGGTCACATATTGCTTGTCTATGCCAGTATTTCTCTAACTTAAGCTTGCATTAGCATCCCTGAAGAGAGGGCGCATGTCCAGTGGTAGAGGTAGGGGCCCCACTCTCAGGGGTCTACCATTCTGAATAGGGCTTGAGCATTGGGATTTTAAGAGTTACCAGATACTTGCACCCCCATGTTTATTGCTGCTTTATTTACAATTGGAAAGACATGGAAACAACCCAAATGTCCAAAATATGACTGGATTCAAAAGATGTGGTACATATACACAATGGAATATTACTCAGCAACCAAAAAAACAAACAAAAAAACAAACACATGCCTTTTGCAGCAACATGGATGGAGCCAGAAGGGATCATGCTTAGTGAAATAAGCCAGAAAGAAAAGGAAAAATACCAGATGGTTTCACTTATAGCAGAAGCATAAAGGACCAGGAGGAAAATAATAATAATAATGAACAGCTATAGACCAGAGACATTTTATGGGGTTGGAATGGGGAATGGGATCAAAAATGGGGGTGGGGAGAAGTGCCCTGGACTATGGTGATGACACACGGGTGGTTTGGTAATAGGAAGCCCACGGGGATTACAACTGAGATGGAAAAAGGCACAAAATGATGTAAAAATAACCTATTACATTATTAAAAAAAAAAAAGTTACCAGATGCTTCCCAGTCACAGCAGGGTTGCTACAGAAACCTAGGGCCTATGTCTGTCCATGGCTCACTGCTCCAGTGGCAGAAGGGGACAACATTGTTCAGAATTCTTCTGAACAGTGAAGAACAGAAAGCACTGGGTGGGCACAGACAGCTCCATCCTGCTCCATCTGCTCTTCCAGAGCACCACGCCAGCAAAGGTGTGTTCTAGGTTGCATTTCCATGGAAGTAAGGAGCCTACCCGTGGGCCCACCCAGGTAAATGCATAGGTGAATGCAGTGAAAAGGGCTAACAATTCCTGGGGCCCTGTTTGGCTCCCCTTCCCCAAGCCCCCTCCCCACCCAGGGTGTCAAAGGCAAAGATACATCTGTAGTTTCAGCAGCTGTATTGCAGGGAGGGCAATAGAGTGAAATGAAATAGAGTGGAATGACCTTGCCCAAGGTCGCCAGTTTGTGAAGAAACAAGAATTCTAATCTACTCTGCCTGACTCAGTCTAGGATTTCTATGACTGACACCTGGCTTATGCTTCTCGGGAAGCCCTCAAACAGGCTTCCAGAACTCAGAAAACTTTAGGTACCTTCACTAAGAACAGAGCAAGAGCCCGAAGCTCAGATCTAATCTCAGTTCTTCCCTTGGCTTGCTGAATTGACATGGGCACATCTCAATCTACCTGGGCCTCAGTTGTCCCCTTCTGTAAAGTGGGAGAATAAACACAGTTCTGTTTGGCCCCTGCATCCAAGAAGAAGCCAAATGGGAGCATTTGCTCTTGGGAACTACAGTATGTGGATATAAGTGTCAGGCGTGATGCCGAGAATGAGTCCAATGTCCCAGACATGTTGAGTCCTGTATCGGGCCTTAAATTCCTGCTCTGTGAGACTGAAGCTATGCTGCTGACCCAACAGGGCTGCTGAGAGTGAGGCCGGAGCTTGGATGTGAGCTGACAAGAGCCGTGGCTGCTTCTGCCTGTGGCTGAGCTCACAGCCAACTTGGAAAACCTTCCTGGAGGTATCATTTTCAGCCCACCCAGAAGCTGTCACCTGTCCAGTTTGGAGGACTTGGCCACAGTTTCAGGGAAGCTTCTGGTATGGGAACGGAGATTCTTGGAAAGGCGATGGAAGTGGGGGAGTCACACATCTCTGCCCACCCACCACACCCTGCCTGTCTCTATGCCTGGCACGTGTGGTTGGTGGGAACAGCCACGGAGCAGCTCCGCCTCCACCTGCCAGGCCAGCAGCCTAAGCGCCAACCACCTCATGTTACTCCTCAGAATGCTCACACCAGCCTGGCATTCCTGAGTCAGAGGGTGTAGGCCTTTGACTCCTGGCCACTGGGCTCTGTCTGGGGAGTGTCAGGAATCCATGCCTGGGGACCTGGCAAGGGTGAGGGGGGTCTGGGGGAGGTACCAGCCAAGTGACAAGGCACAGCCAGGCTGGCGCTGGCATGGATGCTTGGCTGTGCCAGTCCTCAGGGACTCCCGGACTTACCTTCCAGAGCCCACAAGTGGTGTCTCACCAGCTCCACCACCTCCTGCCTGTCATCCGACAGCACGATGCCAAAGCCGGCCAGCATGTAGGACACGTCCGTGCTGATGCCCGCCCTCACCTTGTGGATGGTGGGCACGACCCCCACCAGCAGCAGCAGGGCCACCTGCAAGGGCACCAGGATGAGGGCGCCAGGGCCAGGGAGTGCTCACACCAGGTATTCCCATCCCGGGAGAAGTGGCTTCCAGGGTAATGGGGAGGCCTCAGGGGAGAAAGAACGACCACACACACGGGCTGCCTCTGCATGCCGTCCCCTTTGCGAGTCTGCTCTGCCCCTAACGCAGCCGCCTCATGCCCGAGCACGTCAGGGGTGGGTTAGTCTTACTGCCCGCGGCCACCAGGCCTGGACTGGGGTGGACCTGCAGGTGTGGGACTCACAGGCCACTGAGATGCGCAGGAGGCACAACTGTGCTGCAGAGTGCTATCAAATACCTGCCTCAACTCCAGGAAACAAAGTTCTCAGCATTTCCACGTTGGGGAAAGCAAATGACCTATGTTAGACGGACTGTGATTCACATTTTGACTACCTTGGGACATTCGATGCAGAATACTGACCAAGTCAAATTCACCTCTCTGAGCCTCGACGTCCCGCACTTGTAAAATGGAGCGAAGCCATGATACCAACCAGGGTTTTGTTTTGTTGTTAGTTGTTGTTGTTGAAGGGAGATGGAGGTGGTGGGGGATTTATGCAACATATATTAAATCTTCCCAGCTACCTAAAGAGGAAAGTAATTGTATTTCCTCTGTTTCACAGCTGAGCTGATGGGTTCAGAGATGTTGAGTAACTTGCCCAGCATCACAGCAGGTAAGTAATGGAGTTAGGACTTAAGTGCATGTTTATGTGACTCAAAACTCCTACTTGGACTCTCTACAAGCCCAGCAAAAGTTTACACTCCTTCCCTTTTGAGTGGGTCAACTTCCCAAGATGGCCAGAAGCAACTGTGTGGATTGTGACTGGAGCCATTGGAGAGCTGAGTGGTCCTGGGCTTGTGAACAGCAAGCAGGAGTTGAGAGGTAAATGTCACTATGGAGGCAGGACATACCTGGTAAACGGCCGTGCCTGTCAGGGTGGCTGAAAGGACCAGCTTCAGGGGCAGTCGGAATCCTGCATTCCCCAAAAGGAGGGTGCATGTGAGTGCCAGCACTGCCCAGGTCCAGAGCACCCCTCTTTCCCAAGAGACCCAGGAAAAGGCTCAGAAGCCCTAGGCCAGGCCAGGGGCTTCCTCTTGTCCAGAGCTGGGGGTTCTTCTGGACGACAGGGTTAAGAGGGGCGCAGAACAGAAGCTGGTCTTCCACCGTGATGGTTCTGCACAATGGGGGCGGGCGGCATGTGTCACCCCGTCGCCAGTTCCCCACCTCTTACCTTGCTGTGGAGTGTAGAGATAATGTCTGAAGCGGATCCAAGCGCAGGACAGGAAGCCTTGCTTGGAACTGGGGGAGCTGGAGGAGGACCCAGGCAGGAGGGGCCCTTAGGAGAAGCCCCTGCCCTGAGCCCCAGTCATAGTTTGGCTGGTTGCTCATCGCTGCCCCACCATGCTGCCCAGAGCCAGCCCCCTAACCAGCCAGCCCACCCAACCCGTCCACTGCCCGCCGAGGCCATGCCTACGACCTCACCTGCTTCCCAGCTTCTTCCGGCAAAGGAGGGTCCTCAGATATTCCTCAGAGTAGCTACTCTGCAGCCCCTGTGGAGGCAGACAGACCAATGGACAAGCTGCTGAGACCGGCCTTGAGCCATCCCTGGCACCCTGGCTCAGGGTACACAGTGGGCACCCAGCAGGTGCCCTGTAAACATTCAGGGTGAGTATAGGCGCGAGTATGGACCAACACATGAGAATGAGGCCTGCGCCCCCAAAGCTGCCCTGTTCTCCAGTACCAATATAAGGCCAGTCAGTGCCCTATCTAAGACAGTGCTGGGAAGTTCCTCCTACAGTCTAACTCCAACTCGTCTTGCTTTAGCTGGTCACATGTCATCACTGCTTCTCCCCTGCCCTGCGGTCTGTTATCTGAGACTGAGACTGAGTAAAGGAATGCCTATGGCCCGAGCACATGCAGCCAGGACACAAGAAGGGCTCCCAGGTCAGATCCTCAGGCCTCTACTCCTACTCAAGGGAGATCACAGGGAGACCAGATTTGTCGAAGCCACATCCCAGGACTTAAGCTGCCTGCCAAGAGGCCCATGGGAAGATGGGTGGGCCCCTGTATTGGTCATTAGGAGAGTGTAGGACCTCAGATCCTGTTGCCATGGCAACCTGGGGATCTAGGGCAGGGGTGGGTCAGCTCAGTACTTGACTGTGTCCTCTGAGCCTTAAACCTCTTTGCCCAAGGGCCAGAGAGGATTTTCTTTCTCTAAAGACTTCTCTGGAAAGAGTGAGGCAGAAAAAAATTTCTGCAATAAAGGAACAGGATGAGGGTGCGGGCAGGGTAGAGACCTGACAGGTGCACTGTGTATTCTGGGCAGCTATTCTCCACTTTTGAGCCAGATGTAAAATGAAGGGGGACACAGTCTCCCCCAGAGGAGCATGGGAATGAGGAGGGCAGCAGTCTGAGAATCCTACCACCGAAAGCCAGGGACAGGTGGGTACCAGAACCCCCTAGCCTCTCCAGGCCTACTCCTCCCTGGAGGTGGGGATCACTCTCCCCCTGGCTTCGGCCCCAGTTCCTCTCCTGCGCTCCAGGCCTGAAATCCACCTGCCTTCTAGCCCCTTCAAGGCTACACACATGCACACACGTGGTCCCTGCACGCCCGCCCTAATCTAGGTTCCAGATTCCACAGTGCACCTCTACCTGCCATCTGTCCTAGAGGCCAGTCTCCAAACCTTTTCTCCTCCCCGTCTGAAGAGGAACCAGCTCTTTGCCTCTGCATCATTCTTGCTTCTGTGTCTCTTGAATTTGGGGTCCCCTGGAACAGTCCATGCTTCCTCCTCTCTCACCCAGAAGACTACTTACCCACCTCCACCTGTACTCCCATGGTTTGGGCTGAGTCCCTGGTGCATTTTCACATGGCACTGTAAATATTTTTGCTGCATCCTGTTCCCCCAGAAACCTGGCAGCTCCTGGGGGTCAAACCTGGGGCAGTTGGATCTAGGTCCCTTGCACCCAGCCCAGGCCTGGGACACGTAAGTGCTTAGATGGCACCTCAATAAGCTTGCCAGATCTTGTAGGAATTCTCTCTGACCATGAAGTATTTATCCGCCTACCTACCCGTCTATCCAAAACTCCAGAAATATGTGTTGTCTATTATATGCTGCGACCTGCCCAGGGTCACACATCAGATATGAAGAAAACAGAGATAACCCAGTTCTGCCTCACGCTCTTTCCTATGCCTGCACTATATTCTCTCCTTACTCCAGGACCTCCTTGTCTTTTATGCCCCCCAGTCTGCCTCCTCCAGGAAGCCCTCCTGACTGCTTCTGCTCTCCCAGCCCTCCCCTTTATCTGATTTCATCTGACTTATAGCTGATCTATAATGCAGCGCTAACCCAAGTGCTTCCTGAATCATTTCAGCAACTACAGAGCTCCTAGTACACGAGGCTCCTGGCCTGGCCCATTTCTCCAATTTCAGTGTTTTAGAAACAGAGCTATGAACTCCTGCCAGATGCTATCTCCTGGCCCATTTCTCCTCTGCCACATTCTTCTGTTCACACAGCTAGGTACCTGGGTGTACACACCCTAGCGCTTGCCCTGGAAGGGAGGACTGACCAGCCGCTCCATGCCCGCTTTATACTACGAATGCCCACGGGGACCCACTGACGCGGGCGAGTCCAGCGTCTTGGGCTCTGAATAGGCGCCCAGCCCAGCCCTGCCCCTTTACCTTAGAGCCTGCGCCTGTCCTGTGGTTGAGGCTCCTCACCATCTGCACTGGGTACCAAAGGCTCAGGAATCCGAGACCCAGGAGGAGAGGCAGGGAAGCCAGCAGGGAGTAGTACTTATAGATCTGGATGAACAGACACCAGGTGCAGCTGCCTTCTGCACTCCTTCCCCAAACCGGAGCGGGATGCTACCCCTTCCCACCTCACATGGGGTCCCGAAGGTGACCTAGGTGCCCTGGAGAGACTGGCTCTGTTGCCCCCAACCCACTGGCTCCTGGACTGTCATGCCCCTTAGAGGCCAAAGAGGGAGACTATGTGATTTCCTCCTGCCTGCCCCAAGGGCCTAAAATGGGGAGTGCACCCACTTGCTGTGTCCCTATATTCCTACTGCTTTGGAGACCCCTAATTTTGTCTATGCACAGCCTGTAGCCTGGGCATCGGCGAAGTATGTGTCCTGCCTCCCCAGGCTGGACCTTTCTATATTCATTCATTCATCCGTTACCTCAATATGTTTCCATTGAGAGATTAGTATGTACCAGTCCCTGTACCCAAAACAAGTCCCTGCACCCAAAGAAACCAGCTAGTCTCCCTGTCTCCTGGGAGGGGTTGGTATTGCCAGCTCCATTTACCGGGGGGGCTGAGTTACAGCGGATGTGCACACCTGCTTGCTTATTTTATTGTGTCTCCCCTCCCGGAATGACAGCTCTTGGGATACCGAGGACTTTGTTTGTCTTTCCACAGTTGTATTCTAGTGCCTGGAGCTGTCTCTGGTACAAAGAGTGTGCTTCAAATGTTTGATGAATGAGTAAGTGAATGAAGGAAGCTGGACTCAAACCCAGGTTGCCGGAGTCTAAAGACTACACTTCCACCCTTGGCGCGGCCCAGGTAGCTTTACTCATGTGCAGCAGACTGCGGGCCAGGTTCTAGGGTTCTGGACTTCTCTTTTGAGCCTTCTGAGACCTCTTCCGCCTCCCTGCTCACGTCCTTTGTTGCGCTTCACGGTCACAGGGAAGGCAGGGGACTCAGTTGTGGGTGTCTGCAGGACTCCTCTTCCTCTTTCCTGCCTGCTTGCCTCTCCCTGACCCCGTCTGGACAGGAAGGTCCTGGGGGGAGGGGCCGCTTCCTCATCTGTCCCACAGAGGGGCGTGCTTGGATGGGGTGCAATGGGAATGGAATCACAGGTACCAAGGAGGGCCTTGGGGACCCCCGGCGGCTTGTCCAGGCACCTGTGTCCCTCCACCCTGGGCTGTTGGGAGTCTGTGGTTACCTGTGGTGCCTGGGGACACTCTACTCTCTGCCAGACCTGGACCCCGAAGTGAGCCCAGGCTAAGGCGCTGCCCAGCAGGTGTGCAACTCCGTGCCTGACCGTGGCACAGGCGGCCAGGGGGTAGTACAGGGCAGGGTAGTAGAGCAGGGCCACCAGCTTCCAGGCCGCTGAAAATCAGACAGGCAGAGTGAAACGGGGCCCCCGGGGGGCCCGGGGGCAGCCCACACAGGACTCTCTCCATCTCCCAGGAACCTCAGCTGGTTCAGTGCACAACAGCCCAGGTTTAAGATCCAGACTCTGATCTTGGGCAAGTTACCTCTTGGAGCTTCCTTTTCCCCATCTGTAAAATGGACACAATAGCAGCGTATCAGCAAAGACAGATGGGACGCCCGTGTAGCCCAGCCCAGCACCTCTTCGGCACGCCGGAGAGTAGCTGCTGCTTTACCAGCCCCATGGGCAGCCCTGTCACGTGGGGCTAACACTCGTCTGAGTCACCATGAGGACTGAATGGCCTCGGTGGCCCCTGTTGATGGCAGCTGTCCTTGTTCTCAACAGCTCCGAGAGCCCAGCTCAGCGCTCAAGAGCCTTCTTGGCCCCTCCCCATCTTCCTTTTCACACAAGGCTGAGCTACCTGGAGGACTCACAAGCTCCCTCTTTCCTAGGAGTGGGGCTAGCACAAAAAAAAGTACTGACCTGAGCAGGGAGCTGGGGCCAACAGAGAGGTGGTTTCAGGTGGGGTGGCAGGGCAGCAGTGAGGCTAATGGCACAACCCCTTCTCGGGGGTGGTTCACGATAGGGGACAGGGAGCTGCTTGGCACACCCTGCTACCCTGGGTTGGCTCCCCCATTGCATCACTGCAGCCCCAGGGCCTCAACTGCACTGGGTACCTCGGTTGGGTGGTGACACCAGTGTCAGGAAGGGCAGCGGGTCCTCGTCAGGGAGCAGCAGGCACAGGGAGCTGAAGAGGACCATGAAGACAGCGGTGGGCACTGCACGGGGCCTGTCCCCAGCCAAGAAGTCCACAGGGCTGGTGCAGAGGACAGAAGAGAATCCCTCAGGCCCCCTTACCACCCAAATGCCATGTCCCATGAACTGGAGCTGTGGAGTGAGTTCCACTTTCCAGGCAAGGCAATGGAGCCCCTTGACTCACTCATTCCACAAATATTTGTGCACTGAGTCCTTACCGAGTTCTTCATTCAGTCCCACCAATACCCACATGGCAGGAACAAGCCTAAGCACTGCTCCCTCCACCACCCTGGAAGCGCCAGGAAGTAGCCGCCTCCACACTAATGGGTCTGTCTGGGCTGGCAGAGCTTCAGAGAGCCTGCAGGGTCACAACATCCTTTTGCAATGGCTGCTGCTCTGGCCTGGGTGTATCCTCAGGGCAGAGGGCAGAGGGCAGATGGCGGGCACAGCCATCCCATCCCAGGCATGGCCCTCAGGACTCCACACACTCAGACCCTCTGCTTCTGCGCCCAGCCTGCCCTTCTGCCCTGAGAGCCCAGCCTGCCTCCCCAGATCCACCCCCAGCCGGACCAGCTTCTTCTCTACCACCCAGAGTGTCAGTCTCCTTCCCCAGAAAGGTCAGGCACACTTGGGATGCCAGGATGTCTACAGTAGGGCTCTACCTGCCTCACCCAGCCCTTCTGTCTGTCCACACAAGCCTGCCCAGCCCCAATCCTCAGGGTCTTCCCCACACCCAGCTCTAGGGTGACAAGTCTAAAGCCAGCTACAGGCCAGTTCTTTATAAATCTACCTGGTGCATCATGGCCCCCTGGGCATCCTCAAGGGAAACGGGGGGGCATGATGGCACAGGTGGTCACGGCTTGTCCAAAGGGGCGTCCTGTGAGTTGGGTTCTGTTGGTCTTTATCTCCTGAATAGGAACTGAGCCCCTCTCCCTCCCTCTGGGGCCCCCACCAGACCTGGAGAGCTGAGTGGAGGTGGTGGTGGTGGGGTTGCCGCTGAGGCCCAAGCTGGTTTCTAGCTACTTAACAAACCGCCACCTTCCTGGAGTGGCCCTGACAGCTGGGTCCCCTGAGAGGGTGTGCCCAGGCCACAGCACCCACCTGGGCAATCCGGGCCTGCCGTGCCCACAATGGGGCCAGAGCCGGCGGCGCTGCTGTAGCATGGCCAGCAGCAGTGACACGAGCACCTACAGGGACAACACAGAGGAGGGGCTGGGGTGTCCAGGCCTTGCCCAAGGCGCTGAGTGTGGGGCTGTGGATGCAATTCCCAGGATGCCTCCCACCGCCATTGCACACTCATGCATGCTGCATCCTAGTTTGGGTCCCTGCCCTGGGAGCACCCCCAGACACCCCCGCCCAGATTTGGGGCTCTTAGTCCCCCTTCACCAGCCCCAGCAAGAAACTGAGCCCCCCTGCTCAGGAGGCGGTAGCTCACAAGTCAGTTTGGACTCACAGACAGCACGGCCAGGCAGGCATGGAGGATGCTGGGTGGCACACTGGGGTGGCAGGCGGGCACCATTCTGCAGAATAGTTAAAAGCTGGGTCAGGCCTGTGTAGGGATTCCCCTGGGGGGTCAGACCTGTGTAGGGACTCTCCTGGGGGGGGGGTCAGACCTGTGTAGGGACTTCCCTGGGGACCCCATACCTGGATTTCAAGTTGTCTACACTGGCATTTTACCCACCACCTCTTTTTATCCTCTGATCTCTCCTACCCAAGCTTGCCCAGCTCTGTCCTCTTAGGGTCATTCTCGGGCTCTCATGCCCCTGTTGTGTGCTGGCCCACACTAAGCACTGAGGGAACAGGAATAAAGGAGACAGAGGACTTCTGGGGAAACACATGGGAAAAACAAATGGGTCGGCTCAGCTTGAACCCTTCCTCTTTTTCACCCATCCCCTTCCCATCCTTGAAGACCCACTTATCTCTCCCTCCTCCAGGAAGACTTCCTGATTGCCCCATGCCCCACAGATCTCTCCTTCTTAGAACTGAGGTAGGCATTTGACCAAGTCAAGAAATCCAGTGTTTGGGCCTATGATTCACGCACTAGTCTGAATTCTGTCTGTTTCTCCCTTCTTTTTCTGTTTCCCTTTTCTAAACAGCTACCCCGTACAGCTGGGCAGTTTCCACACTGCACAAGGATGCCTGACCAAGAGGATGAGTGTGGTCTGAAATCCAGGCCACACTCCTTTTTTCTAATTACCAGGGACTCAATGGCCTGGCAGAGATGCTGCTATCATCATAACAGAGATTAAAAATAATTTTGATGAGGACAATTAGGGCCTCAACAAGCCAAGACTGGACCTGAAACTGGGAGAGTAGGAAAGAATGGGTCCATGGGGAAGGGTAGACTTCTCACCCACTCTCCTGAGCACCCTCCTGCTATGTGGAAAAGAGGAAGCCCAAGGCGCCTGGGATCCTACGCTAGGACTATTCAGGAAATCCCAGGAGGTGAGCAGCAAGGAAGGCCCTGGTTCCTGGGGTTTGTCCTTGGGCTGAGGGCAGAATAAAACTTTCTTCCCATGGATGGAGCTGGGCGGAGAGTGGGGCTCAGGGAAGGCAGGCCCCGTGCAGCCCCGAGAGTTCAGAGCCCCTGCTCCATGCCTGTTCAGCCTGCACGCCTCTCTGCCTCAGCCCTATTCTACCCTGTACCCTGCACCCAGCCAGGTGGGTCTCAGCACACTGTCCCTGGAGCAAGTGGGAGCCACCCCACACCATGGATTCAGGGTTCTGTCTGGGGGAACCTCAGGTCTCTTCTGTACTAACCAGGTTCCCTCACCTGTCCCTTAGCTCAGTTTGACTGAAGCTCATAGAACCTCACTGTTGATCTGAGCATCAGAAATTGACTGACCAAGGATTTGGCTGATGGGCCCACATGTGTGCTGTGGGGCAGATGAAATGCAGGTACAGAAAACACACCTCAGGGAAGGTGGGGATCTTGACCCTCCAAGAGATACAAGGAGATGCCGGAGCATTCAGGAGTAACAGACACCTCACAGAGGTGAGGTGGTATCGCTTTGTGGTTTTGATCTGCATTTTCCTGATAACAAGAGATGATGGCCTCTGTCACGTGCCCATTGGCCATCTGTGTGTCTGTAGTAAAACATCTGTTCAGAGCCTCTGCCCATGTATTAATTGGGTTTTTTGGGTTTTTGTCATTGAGTTGTATGAGTTCTTTATACATTTCGGGTGAAACAAGTGTTGGAGAAAAGGGAACCCTCTTATCCTGATGGTGGGAATGAAAATTAGTGCTGCCACTATGAAAACAGTATAAAGATGCTTCAAAACCTGATGAATAGAGGGCTCAGTGGATTAAAGCACAACACTGTGAAGCTATCGGCAGCCATGAGTTTGATCCCTGACCAGGGAGGTGGCCCACATGGCACAGCAGACCTCTCCTGACCTGTCTGCTGCTCCCCTCAGCAGTGTATCTCAGTACAGCTGCCTGTTCTGCTCCCCACTCTGTCTCTGGTGAATCCTCTCACCCCCGACCTCTGGCCTATACCCCAATTCTTGTATGCATAAATAACTAAACCTTTTTTTTTTTAATGATGAATAAAAATACCACATGGTCCAGTTACTCCACTCCTGAGTATTTATCTGAAGGACACTAAAACACTAACTCAAAAAGAGACAGGCGTCCCTATGTTCATTGTGGCGTTATTTGCAATTGCAAGACAAGGAGACAGCCCACACAGCCACTGATGAATGGGTGGAGAAAGAAGAGGTGGCATTTGTGCACAATGAAATCCCCACAACCAGCAAAAGGTGAAATCTTGTCATCTGTGACAACATGGATGCACCTTACAGGCTTATGCTAAGCAAAATAAGTCAGATGGGTGAAAGACACTTGTCTTTCTGTATGATTTCATTCACATGTGGAGTAGAAAGAGGCAACTCAAGCAAACAAGCAGAACAAAAGAGAAACAAATTTAGGTACAGAGAACAGAAAGCTGGTTACCAGAGTGGGAAGGGGCCGGTGGGAAGTTGGTGGGGGGCTCACCGGGAGTGCAATGGGCACAGAGGCATCAGCTCTGTGGTGAGGGATGGAAAGGAGACTTTTGTGAAGCTCGTGCTGTAGTGGACACAGATGCCCAATGAAACCAGGACTGCCACCTCAATAAAAAAATTGATGTAAAAAAAAGAAAAGGATGCAGAGGAGAGAGAGAAACTTGGAGTAAGGTATCGGAGGGGGTGTGGTTGGATGTGGGTCTAAGATGGTTTATATTGCTTTAGGCAAAGGAGGGAGAGGGTGTCCCAGGCAGGCAGAGATGCTGGAGGAGGCAGGCAGTAGAGACTGTGATAGGGCTGGGTAAGGCATTTAGTTGGAGTGTGGGTTACAGTAAGCCTGGGAGGCACTGGGGGTTGGCAGGGCCCCCCACCTTTGAGCAGGACAATGTCCTGGTTGTATATTTCCATAGCTAAGTTTGAATAACAATGGCAAACAGCAGTAACTATCTAAGTATTTACTAAACATTCCTAAGCACCAGGTTGTTGTTTGTTTTGTGCATTAACTTGGTTAGTAGCACTTAAGTGACTGGTGCTGTTATTATCCCTTTAGTGTGGACAAGGGGACCAAGACTCAGAAAGGCTAAAGCTCTTGCCCAACTCACACAACTAGTCGTGAAGCAGTCAGGAGTTGAATGGAGCCAGGGAGTGGGGAAGTAAGGAGCTCGTGCAGGGAGATATTAAGTTGAACCATATGAAACAGTCACGTCTGTGCAGCCGAAGCCGTCAGTTGCTGCAGACTGAAGTGCGGCTGTTCTCAGAGGTACCTAGGAGGGAGCATGGGCTTGCTTGATGTGTAGGAGCAGAGGGAAAGGGAGTTTCCAGGATGATTGTAGGTTTCTGGGCCTCATTCCAAGAGGAGGGATGTAGCCTCAGGAAGTCTGACTGGGTCGTGAACCTCCGGGACAGAGGCTTATGGTGTAGTGAGGATACTGAGGAAGGGGAGGGGCGAGACAACTGGTTCTAGAAGTTTGGCTCCAGCAGGAGTCTATGAAAAGCCCTGTCCAGAGGGCACGGAAGAGCATCTCCTTGAGTGAGTGAAAGCCTGCCCATCTGGAGTGGGGGCTCTGGCCTGTGGTCCCCAGGGAGGGGGGGAGCTCTGTTTCCTGACACATTCCCCATCCTATAATGGGACCTGCAAGCATACATGGTGAGGGGGACAGAGGGAAGCCTCCCAGGAGCCCTTTGAAGTAGTGGGGGGGGGCACGCTGGATGACTGCCACAGGCTCAATGGTGCCCCCAGACTAACTGGGAAGCTCAGCACTGATGCGGGTAGAATACACAGGGTCACATGCCAGGCTGGCACAAAACCTGGTTAGAGGAGCTTCTGGAGTAGGAAAGAGCTAGTTGGATTTGCACAGATCAATCCTATGTTCCAGCAGACTCATGCCCAACCTCTTCAACTGGGTCCTGGCACCAAGGGTGACCTGGGTAAGTTGTGGCTAGGTGAATGAGCCTAGCCCAGCCCATCACCAGTGCCCAGCTGCCCCCACTCCAGCCTGCCTGGGCACACTGATAGGCAGGGAACCCTACAGTCCAGAGCTCCTCAAATCTTTGCTGCACCAGGGAGAGGTAAGCCCAAGTTCACCTCCTTGAGATTCCCCTGAGAACCAGCTTCCTGCTCCTACCTTTTGGTGCGGAGAGGCTGAGGCAGCTGGACTTAGTTTGGCTAAGTAGAGTCCAACAATCCACCTTATCCTTCCCTGAAGTAGAAGGGAACTGCAAATTCTAGATGTCACCCACATTCGAGGCAATATTCCTCATCACCCAGACCCTGCCACTCCCCCGCTGTACCCAAACACCTTCTCTAAATATCCAAGCCACAGGTCTGGCTGCTGGCCCAGCCAATACCCAGGCCCTGAGACTCAGATGCCCAAGGACACAGGTTCAGACTCAGGTCAGGGTCTGTGTCCTCTTGGGGTTCCTGGACCCCGCCCAGCTCTGCAGTTCCTTTCATCCATACATAAACAGCCAGGCAGACAGGGCCCAGATTCTCAAGGCCAGCCAGGGAAGGGGAGGAGGGGCACACCCTCTCAGCCAGCAGGGCTACTTTCCAGGTGGTCAGAACCCCGAGTCTCTAAACAACAGCTCCTTCCCCCAGGCCTGGGTGGGGCCTCCCTCCCTGCTGGGTGACCCAAGCCTGGCCAGGCCACAGCCCCAGCCCCTGGGGAGACACGCAGCAATTTTCCCTCTGCAGTTTTGGTCGTTGATGGAGAACAGATGTGCACACATCTGGCTCCACGAGGCCCCCACCTCCCAGCCCCCGCCTCACCTTTCTAGTTTCCTAAACCCTCAGATGGAGCAGGGAGGTGGAGGATGCTCCCTGCCCCCCAGGAGAAATAAGGGGAGGACTGGGCTCTGGGGCTCAGACAGGCAAGGAGTCCTTGGCAGCTGGTGGGCTCACAGAGAAGCACAGCTCCTCTGCCAGGGTACCCAGACTAAACAAAGATAGAAAGGGTCTGGACAAAGGCCGCTGTGGGCTGGGCAGAGGCTGCCTCCCTGCCCTTTGCGGGCGTGAGCACTCCTACTACGGAGAACAGACTTCATCTCAGGGAAACACTGAGTCCAACAAACACAACAGGGGCAGCTTTTTCCACAAAGGCTGTCCCCCACCCTCACCCTCACTGCCTTTCCTCCCGAAGCCTCCCCCTGCCCCACTGGCCAGCCCAGAGAACCAACACTTGCTAACAAAACCCCCAAATGTATACCAGCAGGACCAGTATAACCTCTGAGGGCAGGCCCAGCTCCCCTCAACCACTCACCAGCATCCTCCATCCTGGCTGCAGGCCAGAATCACCCAGATGGCCTCTCTAGACTGGATCTGAATTACTAGGATGCAACACCTAAGAATATGCATTTTAAACACACCACACAGGTGTTTTTTAGATGAGCCTTTTTAAAAAGCTCAGATCCAGCACCTTACATATCTCAATTACAGGTCAAGAGCCATTGTTCTCATGTCACGGATGAAGAAATGGAAGCTCAGGGAGGTGGTAAGCAACGTGCCCAGGGTCACAGAGCATCAGTGAAGCCGAGAAAGCCCGTCTCAGTCACCCCCGCCGGGGCCTACCCCTACCCCGCCAGTGACCTCTGCCACAGCCTGCTAAGTAGACAGTTTCCAGACTCACTCTTCTGGCTGGAGCTCCTGGCCGCCGGGGGGCTCGTCGATGTACCAGCTGCCATAGGAATAGTCATCTGTGGCCCCGAAGGAGGAGGTCTGGTTCCCTGTTGCCCGGGACGACATTCTTCCACGCTGCTTCTCCTTTGACCCCCGACCAGAGAGAGAGGGAGAGGAAGAGAGAGAGAGAGAAACCACTACAGATGTGAAAAGAGGCTTGGGGGGGGGTTGTTAAAGAAAGAAAACCCAAACAAAGAACTGTTTCTCTAGAATCCTAAAGGTTACTTTCTTGCTTTTAGCTGTCTGGGAAAAGCCCGTCTTAGAGTGTGGGCCTGGGCAGCTGGCACAGGAGGAGGGGAAGGGCTTCTCATGTCCCCTCCCGTCCCTTCCCGCCCAGTCTCGCCCGATCCTGCAGGAGGGTTATCCCCTTGGGGAGAGTGCACCCCTCAGGGTCCCTGGGCTAGCACACCTGTCTGTCTGTGTGTCTGTCTGAGTGACCACCAGCTGACCTTTGCTCAAAAGACCATTTTAAAGGAAGGTTTGTCCAATCTGAGCTACCCACAAAGCCCCTTTTCCTTTCCTTTCCCCACACCCACCCAGATGGACCCACAGACACCCTCAAGGAAGGAACAGGGAGGAAGGCGCTGTAGAGATGAAAGGGTAGGCGGGCTCTAAAGGCTTAGAAACTCTGTGGCCCATCCTGCTCCGGCTGTCTGGGGTCCAGCCCGGTGCTCCCTCTTTGTTTAGATTCCCTTGAGACCTGTTGCCCCCCCAGTCCCCTCCCCCTTGCCCCAGCCTGCCTGTTGATGGTCCCTTTGGGCCGTAATGATGGGAGCACACCAAGTCCTGACAGAGCCCCCTGGGCAGGGCTATCCCTGTTCCCTCAGAGGCCTGAGCCAGAAGGGTGGGGCCAGACCCCCCCACCCACACCTGACTACCTGGCTACCCGCACATACCTGCCCCGGAGCGCCCACACTTTGCCCACCACATCGTGCCCCATTCAGTTTAGCAACCAAGGTGGTCACAGGTGCTGGGCTGGGACTGGAGGCAGGAGCCAGAGACTTCCATTCCTTCTCTTGGGTTTCCACGTGTCTCTCACTGGTTAAAACCTTTTTGTTTCTCCAACTTGATTTCACAAGGAGATAACTCACCCCCACAAGGCGGAAATTAGTCCTTTAAACACGAACCAGACCCGTAAGGACTCCGCCTTGCCTCCTGCTCCTGGAGTGTGGGATGAGGGTGAGGAGACAGGGCAGGGACTGGGGATCCTCTCTCTCCTCCCGCCCCTGAGAAGCTAGTTGTACCAGGCAGGCCCCCCACCCCCATCTCAGGCCCCAACCAGGAGACAAAGTCTCCAAAACCCCACAGAGAGCCTGGGCAGTGGGGTTACTCTGAGGTATTCTCCTTTGAAGACACATTCATTGACCACCTACTAAGCGCCAGCATTGTTCTGGGTCCTGGGACAAGAGTTCACGGCTGGGGGGTGGGGGGTAGGTGGACACAGACAAGTAGGCAAATAACCTTGAATCTGAGTGTCCAGGAGGGAAAAGCACAGAATGTCCAAATGTGTGCACCGTGGGGGATGGAGTTTGGTCAGCGGGAATAGGGGCATTCGTGGAGAAAGAAAGCTTTCATTTGAGTTCTGAAGCTGGGAACAGTCAGCTCAGCAGAAGGTGGGGTGTTAAGGGTGGGAGGGGGGTGAGGGGAAGTTTGTTTCCTACAAGAACAGCACAGGTGAGTCTCAGAGGGGGCAGAGCTTGAAATCAAGACTCCTCAACCCAAGCAGCCAGGCAGGTAGGGTCTTCCAGGACTATGGCCTCTGATGGTCTTGGCTCCTCCCCCACCTTCCCAAATGGTCCCTCTTTCAGGAAGAGGCTCTGCCCCCCTCCAACTCCCCCCCCACCCACACCCTCCCCAACTCAGAGAAGTCTGTGTCTAGTGACTCAGAGCTGAACCTGGACTTTATTTGATGTAATGCAGGAAACATAGCTGTCTGATCCCAGGGATTTGGGGTGAACCCTGTCTCCCAGGCCTGGCTGTAAGCTCCCTGAGGGCAGAACTCCACTTCTCCTTCAATCTCTCCCCCTGATGCACAGAGTCAGGAGGGTCAGAGGGACTTAAACAACTGGGGTTGGCAACGCATCACTTGTCTTTGAGACCATCGATCCTCCATGGGCCTGTCCCCTGAAGCCCAAGGTTGGGCCTTGTTTATTCCAGCCAGAGCCCTCCACCACAGCTGCAGAGCCCAGCATTCTCTCCCACTGCTCAGGAATCTCAGACCTGTAGTTTAGGGAACCACTGACTCTAATCTGAGTTTAAGGCCTCCTTGTGAGAGCTCTTGACAATGAGAGTCAAGTCTGAGGGGGAACTCATTTCCTCTCCAAGGCAGACTTGTCTCTGGAAGAAGCCTGAATCTGCCTCTTCAGCCCAGCCTGCTTGGTCATTCACTCATTCATTCATTCAACAAATATTAGTTGTAGGCCAGGCCAGGGTTTTCATGTTATGTGCCAGGCCAGGGTTTTCATGCTGAGTCTATAGCAACAAGCAGAATGGATATATAGTCCTGCCCCTCAGGGAACCTAACATGTAGTAGGGGGCAGGGCGTGTGGCAGGTGGAGACAGAAACATGTCATGAGTGCTGAGAAGGAAATTAAGGTCATGCAAGAGAAGAGAGACAGACAGACAGAAGTGGACTAGTGAAGGCTGGAGGGTCAGGGAAGTCCTTGCTGAGAAGATAATATTAAACAGAGACCTGAGGGGAGGAGGCTCCGTTCCTGGCCCCTAACTCCCATGCATCCTGCTTAGGGCCAGGAGGCTGGCTGGGTGGAAGCTCCATGGTTAGAGTGAACGCATGCTTGACTCAGGCTGGGGAGGGCACCCCACTTCTTAAGCCCAAAGTACCTCCTCAGCTTGGAGCTACAATAGCTTGGACTTTACCTGCAAACCGGGGTGAGGCTAGAGGGGTTAGGATGGTTGTCACCTGACCAGGGAACATATGGAGAAGAGAAAACCAGCAAGGAGGTCTCCTGAGGAATTTCTCTGAAGGCCTGGTGATTGTTCTCAGGGCCTGACCTCTGGAGTTGGCTCTACAGCAGCAGACCCACACCCAGAAGAGCTGAGACCAGCACCTGCCCTGAGGAAAGGAGTGGGGGAGAGCAAGGGACTTGGAAGAAAGATTGCAGAGGTTCAGGAAAGAGAAGTGGGGGCAGGGAGCCAGGAGGTGGCTGAGGAGGGGTGGGAGCTCCATGGCGGCCTGGTCGGAAACAGCAGCAAGAAGCAGATGTGAGTCCCTGAGGAAGGCTGAGGGGGGGAGCCTGAGGGGCAAGGACAGAGCAGGGCTGAGGCAGGACTGCCTAGTCGTGATGCATGTGGGGCCCCGTGGGAACACTCAGATAAGGGTGCTGGCAAAGCCCAGGGAGTAGCCCAGGCCAGCAGAGCCCCCAGAGGGGTCTAGGTTGGGGGGTGGCCAAGTCCCTGTCCTTGTGAGGAGGACCCCAAAAAGCTTCTGGGTTCTGAGCAGACAAAAGCCGTCTGCCATCTGGACCTGGCACGGAGCTTCCCTGCCCAGCTCCTCAGGCTGGAGCCGGCCTATGGAGGCCTCGGGACACAGCTTCCTTCCTCCCTCCCTGTGTTTTTGTTCAAGTTGATTAAATCTGAGGAATTTCTGTGTCCAGGAACAGAGGCCAGCGTGCATGCTTTCAGCAGCATGTGGTTATCAAAATCCTCAAAGGGCAAAGTGTTAAATATAAAGCCAGCTAACAGTGGACCCAAAAGAATGGGGAAGGCCAGCAGCATCTCCAAAAACCTCAGAACCGCACTCAGAAACACCCAAATCCCTCATGATCCCTCCAGAATTTTAGTAGCACTACACAAACTCTGGGATCTCAGTATCATCCCCATGAACCCTCAGAACTTCAGTAACACCAGAACCTGACCATATTCCAAGGACCCTCCAAACTCTGGCCAACTGAGCACACTTTGGGTCAAAACCATGGGAGCAACTGCAAAAGGCCCAGAGACACCCACTGTCCACCCACCTCCCAGCACAGTCCTTGGCTTTCTGAGTCCAAGTGCACCCACCCCCACAAAGTTCCTTAACATCCAAACCTCAGCGGCACAGCACAGCAAAGAATACCCTGGTGTCGTCTGGCCAGAGTTGGGGAATCACTGATGAGCCTGACTATGCAACCCGGCCTCTCTGTGAACCTGTGGATAAGAGGCCAAGACAGGTCAGCCCGGGCAGGCCAGCCCCCAGCTACAAAGCTCACTCACGTGTGCACGTATCCAACTGCCCCGGCATGCACTTGGGCATAATCCTGACTGCACGCCCCGGCGAGCCCACGCAGCAGACGAGAGGCAGTGACGCTGGCAGCTAAGCTCGCAGGGAGAGTGTGGATGGCTCTCTACCTCCCACCTCCCACGCCAGGCAGGAGAGGCAGAGGCATTGCCTGGCAGCCTTTTCTGGAATCCCATGCCCCCCTCACCAGTAATGCTACCATAGCCTGGGCCAGATTGTCTGATATGAGTGTGGACACTGGTGAGGAGCTGGGAGGCTGAGGATGTAGCTAACTGTTTTTAGGGAGCAGTTGGTTTTTCCCTCCAGAAGTTAGGCTAGAACTGTCTTGCAAGAGGGAAGGTAGGCAGGCTGATTTCAGCTCAGGACGAAGGTAACTTTCTGACTTCACAGAGTAGTGAGCCCCCCGTCCAGGCAGGCATTCAATAAGCTGCCGAGGGCCTCCTGCCCTCAGAGGAGAACACACTCCTCTCACCATGAAAGACTTGGATTTTCCCTCCCCAGAACATCACCCTCCCTGCGTCAGGGTCAGGCTCCTCAGGGTCAGGCTTGGAGCCGTGGGCTTCCTGCCGCCTCCTTCCTCAGGTTGTTTCCTGCAGACCACAGCAGCGCGGGGCTCTCTGTAGTCAAAGCCCTTTCGCCCTGTGCCTTTTGGGGCCCATACTAGCTCACCCGGCTTCCTGAGTACAGCCACTTGCTGGTCTCAGACCTCATCTCCCAGAATTATTCAACCTCCCACTCCTGCCCCCTCCTGCTTCCAGGTCTTTGTTTGTGCTCTGGCCCCCACCCCACCTTCATGCCTTCTCCCTGCTCCCCCAGCTGCTCCAGTCCTACCTGGCCTGCAGGACTTGACTCCAGCCCACTTCTGCCACGTGTTCTCTTGACCTCTCCCTCCTGGGCCTCTTCCTCTCCT